AGGTGTACCGTGAATGGCGCAACCGTGCTTCCGCACGAGAATTTTGTTGGGAATGTGTATATGTACGTAGCTGCTGTATACGTGCGCTCTTGTAGCTTGCAATGCGCGGACGAAAGTAGCGTCGGTGTAATTTCACAGCCGTCGCGTCGCAGGCACGAGGAAATGCATTCTTTCGTCTGGATTTCTCAGAGAGAACCGTGGCTACGTATCTGTTCGGGCTCGAGATCGGCGGCAAAACGCATAGGGAAACGACGAGATTGAACAGCAAATCTTTTTTTTTTCGTCTACTATCACATTCGGTTTTACCACTACACATGGACTGTATCCTCTCTCTCTCTCTCTCTCTCTCTCTCTCTCTTTCAACGATCAAAGAGTCTATCGAGGATCGATTCCACCGATTTGTGGTGGTTTTTAATCTCGACATCGACAGTTAGGCTAAAATACTAAACGCTCCCGGCACGTGATATCGAACTCGTGACATCGAACTCTGGGATTTAAACTTCGAATCGAAGCCTGTTACGTCCCCGGGTGCATTAATCATCGCGGGACAACCGTAAAGTTTACACGAGCGCGATCGCGTGCCCGTGATTCCGCTCCGAAACGGGATGAACCGCTCTCCACACCTGTGATTCTTGCACGCGAGGACGCGATACGGGAGGATGGAAATCGATAAGTAAACACGGGCACGGGTACCGGGCACGATACAGAAGTTAATTCGATTAGGCGAAACGTGGATACCAGATCAAACGTGGTTTAGATCCTCGATAACAAGCTCCGGTTGCGCATACGAAACGGTGGGATCGCGGCGCTTGTTCGCGATGACCGCGCGAATCCAAGACACGGGAACGGGACCGTTTACATGACAAGCACGGAAAGAGTGTTTCAATGTCTGATACTCGCGTTCGTCGATTGGAATATGCTCGGCTATTTGGCTATATCTCGTGCCCGGCTGCAGCGGCGATCGATTTCAAATAAAGCGGAAAAGGCGAAGAGACTCGCTATTATATTTGACTTTCGGCTTTCCTCCCACGTTCGCCAGGTACCCTCGATTTCACCGAGCTTCATCGTACCTACGAGCTGATTCAAAGGTTTTCGCTGGTTTCGCAAAGCCTGGCTCACAGCCACGGCGTTCAAAACGGTACCTATCCGTTCTTGAATCTTGCGATACAACGGTGCATCGAAAGAGAGCATTTCCCTGAGCCCGCGGATAAAACTGGTTTCGAGAAACAGTTCCCATGGAGTACCATATGTTCCGACAATATCGCCGGGGAAAAGAAGAAAATTTTCAGTTCCACCGGCTGGAACAGCAGCAGCTGTTCATATTATCGTAGCGGGTGGATTTCGCGTATGGATGGAAGTGGGCTTCGGCTAAGAATAAAAACCGAGAGGACAAAGCGGCCACTGCTGCCGTACAACACCTGCTCCTACTCGCATCCGAGGGATATGCTGTCTCTCAACAGGGTTTCCGAGTAGCTTGCCAGAACCCTTGGCTCGCCTCACCTTGGCTATCCATCCACTGCCTACCTACCTACCTTTTTCCCCTTTCCCGGGTCCCTGTTCCTTCGAGTTCGTTACAAGGGTCGATGTACCTGGCACCAGAAACCCCGTAAAATCGTTCGGCTTCGTTGCCAAAACGACCTACCGTGCATCGCGAAATCTTAAAAGGAACCGATCATGACCACCGACAGCTGATCAAACGTCCCCATATATTTCTTGTTTCTACGTAGAATGATCAGCATATAAATGTGCAGAACTTTTGTTGGAAAGAAAGAGAATGATCGTCGTACTTCACTATACACGTTCTTTTATTCTATCCATCTGTGTTAAAAATGATTTCTCCCAGATTTAGAAGAGCAATATAAAGTTTGAGCAACCGAGAGAAGTGGGGGGATAAAATATCGCTAAAAGCTGGTGAAACTCTTATGAAGGTGAATGGAGGATCGTTTCACACCGAGGCGAGGGTCGAAGATAAGCGGATCCCCCTAATTATTTCAAGCACTTTAAAGTTTGATGCGACTAGCTGCCGCCATGACTGGGAACAACGGTGAACGCCGTCATAAACTAGAGTTTGGAAGTGAAAGTTGACCGACGATGGCGAGGATGGACGAGTTAGAAATGGGTAACAAAGATAACAGATCAGTGCTTGCTTTCCCGCGCAGGACATTCTCGATTCATCTCGAGGACCACGATAGCGGAATAACAGCGCCGCGCCGCACCTGCGAGTAGATCTTTGTTAAACTTTAAATAAGGAAAACTCGCGTGAATTTTATTTGACACCTGATGAATGTGCTCGTCCCGTGAAAAGGTAATGAGAATTCTTGGATCGTGCGCGAGTCAAGTATGAAGCATCGTTCGTACGGATAATGAAACAAAAAGAGAGCGTCGGAGGGTGGATCAACTGGAACCGCTGGTCGTAGACACCTAGGAAACGTTCTCGAAGAGTTAGGCGAATACGTCGCGGAAAGCTTTTTGAAACAATTTTTAATAAAAGGACGCGCGACGTGTATATGCGACAACGTTACTGTCCCGCAGGCAGTCTCATATCTTTTATATCGCGTGCCCGTGGACAAAGTGAAACAATTTGTATCATGAAACTGCGGATCCTCGAATCGAGTAACCATGAAACGGATACGATGAAGAAGATAAATACGTTGAATACGTCCCATAGAGAGATACAAAGGCACGACGAACGTGAATAAACGTGAATAAAATGCATCAAATAATAGTTCCGTTCAACGATGAATAATGCATGGTACAATCTCGAGACGATGGAAGAGGGACCGAAAGTCAAATATGCGGTATAGAACGCGGCGCAACCAGTAATTGATTCGTTACGAGTCCGTAAACGTTCGATGAATGAAAACTAATATCTAACGAAACAAGAAGAGGCAGAAGCTTATCTTCGAACGGGGCGCGGAGGTCCATGAAACGGAGAAGCGGGAGGGGGGAGGGCCATTGAAAAGAATCGAGATTACAATTTCCTCCGACGTACTGGCGCTTACGGCGATGAGAGACTCAGTGTGTATGTAAGCGCGAATGAAATCAACCGGGTTACTTGTAGCGGCATCGAGCTCATTTTCGAGTGTTGAAAATGAACTTGAACGGTGCTTTAACGTTCAAGCAGAATAGGTAAGCGTTTCCGGCCGATAGATTTCAACATCGTCTCGGATGAAACTGTTGTACGACACGAGATCACTCGAGTCGGTTTCATGTAACATCTTTTTACTCGATCGTCTCGATGTCTAAAAGTTGTGTATCTCTCATCTACCGCGGAACGAACGAGAAAAAAAGACCGATTGAAAAGCCACGCGCAACTGGCGAAAACTTAATTTTCATCCGACGCTGGTTCTCCCGGTAGCGCGCACGAAACGATGAAATAAACCGCGAAAAACCGGAAATGCTTCTCGTTTGCACCTATTGAAAAATACGAGAAGGGGGGCGGGGCAACCGTCCCAGATACACTCTGCATCTAACAATTTTTTCCGCTCGTCTCTCCGTATTTAAAAACGAACTCGCCTCACCCCGCGACTCTGTAGATCACTGGGGGGGAACTTCGAACTTTTCTACTCTCATTTTTCGCTCGCGGATTTCTCTAAATCAGACGTGGCGCTATCAAAGGCAGAGCTTTTAACGGGCGCCCAGCCGGGCTCGGGCGAACACAGAAGAGGAGCGTTGCGATGCTTCCATTTACGGACAAAGTGCCGCTGGGAGAAAGCGCTTCCGAGCTGCTGTGGCGCCCGTCCCGGGCACGGGAAAGATCCGATCGTTTTGGAAATCGAGCGATAGAATTCCGATCGATCGGGCACGAAGTAATTACAGCAAAACCGTCGCGACGCAAGGCGACGCTCGTCGATGCAAAGTACGTGAGGAGCGGCTTTACGATGCTACTCTACGACCGTCACGATCGTAAATGAGATTCGACAGTCGCCGATAGTCAACTCCCCACGTCCCCCCACGGTTCGGTCGAACCTTACGCACGGATGCACCGACGGGGCCCCGTCGAGAAAATAAAGGAGGGTATACACGTACGTGCACCGGGGTGGCACGGACCGAAGATACGGCTGGAAAGGACAGACAGCGGGGGAACGATGGCCGATTACGAGTAAAACCGGCTGCGAGAATGAAAGAGTGGAAGTAGCGGCAGGAAGATGAAGGAGCTTCACGATGGAAAAGAGAAATTTCCTTCGGACTTGACGTCGCGTTGAAACAGAATGTTGTAACGCACCGGAGAGCCTGATAGATCGATGATTCATATCGAAGCAAGATAACGGAGGAAAAGAGCAGAATAACGAAGGGATGCGAAGGTTAAAGAAGGACGGGAAGAGAAGTCTTTCCCCATGTTCCCTTCGCCTCATCGCTGAGAATTTCAGACATCTGGCGCTATATCGCAATGTCCCAAATCCCCTTAGTATCGCAGCGTCGTTTACGCGGTGGCGCCTGCCCCATGAGGTCTCCGGTAGAAGTAAAAGCAAACAAGTTCTTCCTTGTAATCGGGGCCAAGAAGAGAACGACGTGGACAGAAGAGGAATCGCGTTTCAGGACGTACATACCGGTTTCTCTAACAATATTTTCTTACGACACGCTCTGCCCGATTCGTGGAATCGGAGCTCGCTCATTCGCGTTCGGTGTCTTGCTACGCTCCAAAAACGGAGTATCCGGTGGTTAAGAACGAAAGTGGCATCGTATCTCCCTCTCTACGATGTCTGAATGAATCGAGAGAGACTCAACCATGGCACAGATACGACGCACTTACTCAGCGTGCCGCACGTGCCTGTTGTGCATACGTAATGCGTATTGACACGTCGAGTGACAGCACGCGGACCAAGTCACGCTGCGAACCACTCATCGAATCGATACACTGAGAACACATTAGGGGAATAGGTAGATACACCGATTTCGGTGCAGTGCGGTGCGGCGCTTGATCAAATCGAAGGAGGAAACCAAGTCGCGGACGTGCGACAACGGAGACGGATGAAAGGTTAAAAACATTTCAGACTCACCGGCAATGGCGACGAATAGGAAGAATATCCACATATCCATGAGTATGCCGGTGAGGCGTAACTGGAAGTAGTTGGCTGCGTACGCGCGTTTGTCCATCACGCTCTAGGATGCATGGTTGAGTCTAGTTGATATCAGATGATCTGCCGACGATTCTCGATCTCCGAATCGGCAAGCCGACGCGACACACGGAGTAACACTCACTGTCCGCGTAAATCGAGGCTCGCGTGTCACCAGCACGAAAGGATAGTCGATGAAACAACGAGACCCGTGCCTCGGTCTCGTGTCCACGACGTCTAGCCACCACGGAACGTGTCCTGACACTGTCCTTCGGAGCCCGGCGTTCTACGAATCTCCCACGGAGCAGGCTCGCATCGTTCAAGCGTTCACGCGGAGGAGGAGGAGGCGGATCGCGGCGCGATATCTTTTCGGGTAAACGCGACGCAACGAGATCCGATGCCGTGTGTTCTCCTCGCACGCGTGTCCTCCGCTTTTATCGTACGTGTGTTATGCCTCTCGCGTGCGCGCGTACACGTATCATCCGCGTCTGTTCGCGAAACGGAGCCACGACGAGAAAATAGATCCCGGCCGGTCTCGCTCGTCCGGTTCCGGCTTTCTGCTCGGGTCTCGCGAGCGAATATTACGTTTACGTTCGAAAGACACACGAATCCGTACTTGAGCGAGAGAGTCTCGCCGCTTCCGAGTGACGGCGTGCACGAGTGTTACGGGGCGACCGTCGTCGTGTGCTCTCACCACCGCGTTGCCCGGAGTATTGACCGACTCGGCTCGGCTCGGCTCGGCTCGACACACGGTGCGCCGCTCTGCGGCTCCGCGACCAGGCGAGGAGAGGACGCGGAGGGGGCATCCCCGGCTATGCATACGGCTAGGACCACCACCATCACATAAACGCGTGCGACCCTACCGTGCTGAAGCTGCGCGCGCACTCCAGCTGACTATGCCCACGGCTTCCTCGGAAGACCTATACTTATGTTCCTTGCCAATTCAACGATTCGATGGGCCTTGGATCTCCATCCCTTTATTTTAGTTTTTGTTTTAACCCCCCTGTCCCAAGACCTGTCGCGTATTTCTTTGGTAACACGGTGTATTCCTCGGCGAGTAAACAATCCTCCTCGCAAGCTTACTTCTTACTCGATTCACGCACAATTCCACTTTTTGCTCGCGTTCGAGCGACGCGCGGATCGAGCCGTCTCTCGATAAGCTAACGAGTCGCGTAAAACCGTATTGGTTGCTCGTGAATCGAATAAAACCGTTTCTCTTCGAAGAAAACCGATCGTTCGTTTCACGGAACCCCACTAGAGATTACTCCGATATGTGCTTGATAAGGCCGCGATTCACGATCGCGGAAACGTTCCCCGGTCTTAACTCGATAAATACCCGACGTAAAAATGGACAACGACCTCATCAGGGACTGATAGAGGGGCTCGTAATAGAGAAAATGACTCGCAGTATGAAGCCCGATTATATGTATAAACAATGGCAAAGCAAACGGAGTGGCGGTGCATGGTACAAACTGTAATGAAACATGCCGCGATATCACGATAACGCATTATCACCCGGCTGAACAAGTGTTCTTCGTACGAGAGAGAAAAGTTCACTGTCAACGAGACAACAGTCGCGTCGCTATTCTCATTAAGTGCCGTCGTTGCCGGCGCTAAAAGCGAATGAAATCTCATTGTTAAATATTTAAGCAGAAGATAAACGGAATCACGAACGCGTTGTTAAGAGATACTCCCTCTGCTCTTGCAATCTCTCACCGTTTCAAATATAGTGTACTTTTAAAGTACGGTACCACATTTCCGCCAAACAACCGCGTCTTATGTTTACCGGGATACGCTCTCGGAGAATACGAGAGAACCTTAACGTACGGTCGTCGAACGTTGACATAGGCAAATCCAACGAAACACATTGTAAACGTCTGACGGTAGTTTTATTCGACGATCGATACTCGATACCGTATCGTCTATCGCGCGGAGATTCGATCTCGAGAACAGCACGACGCCTTCCGGACTTAAGAAAGAGATCTGTAGGATGGATAAGGATCTGGCGAGTCGAGATCCAGCAGGTTGTTCCACGTGGAACGTGAAATTCGTCCGGAACGATCAACTCCTGGACAAAACGAGGCTTTCCTCGACGTTCTCGAGGATAGAATTCTCGGGCTTGAATGGAAGCGTACAAAGAAATGATCGTTCCTATGATTTTATCTTCATGAAGCTATTCGAACCGTAAGGTTTCTGTCCCCGCGACAATGGCACCGAGTTCGTAGTTACTCGCACGTCGCACGCGACCCACCGAACCCAGTCTAACAACCGACCTCGAAGCGCGCAGCGGGGCGTCTTTTGTTTAAGCGACGCGTTTATTAATTAATTGTATACCACCCGGCTGGAGGCGTTGCGCGTTTGACAGTCAAATGCCTTTTATTTCTGCCTCTAAATGGAGTGGCACTCCGGGACGCATCCTTTGATCTATGACCAAGGGACCGTTTTGTTACGAGCGGATCTGAAGAAACGCAATATCCGCACACAATATTACTTGCCGTACACAGCCAATGAGACGAGGCATCGTTCTCCAGTGCTTCCAATTACATGACCCATGTTATTGCTTGTACTTGACGAAACGGACGAATCTCGTTCAAGTTGCAGGAATTCCTCTAACTTGCTCCGGATATAACTCCGGTTACCTGACTACCGTTTCATGTTAGAATTAATTCAATTGATTTTAGTCAGAAAACTCATTTTGGTCCAATATACTATTTATAAAGGGTGAGGCAGTAACTATTGCCACCTACAATAACTTCGAAAGTATGATAGTAACAGAAAAGTTTTCGAAACAAAAGATGCATGGGACAACAATGAACAAACTTTGAAGTCGATTTTCACGAAAACGGATCTCCGGATGAAAATATGTTATACCAAAATATTTTATTTTTTAACGTAGAATCAACCCCTGCCCGATTGTACCACGATTTCCGGCCCACCCTGTATTACACATAATTTTACATTCGGATTTGTCGAAAATGGAATTTGATATTAATAGAAAAAGTATGTGTTTCAGGTTTTATTCACTGAGTCTTTTCGAGTTGGTTACGATACCCTGTTAACTGCTAAGTCAAATAATACAGCAAATGTACAGCACGTGGTTCTATTAAAAAACATTTTGGAGATCTAAAGAGATATCACGCGACGCGAGTACAATGGGCTTCGAATAATAAATCGGGCTGCGCTACATGGTGCAGCTGCAACGATTCGGACGTCTCTGAACGCTGTAATACTTCGATTTACATTAATGGACCTACCATGTCAATAGGTCGATTCGTTTCATGCTACGGTCCGCAATGATCGATCGAATCGACGGATAAATGTTAATGAACGCCGGAGCCGTGTGGCGCGCACTCGAAACTGACGCGTCAATTACCAATGCAGTAGCTATATCAAAGAAATGTAATGTAAATCACTTTAGCGCGATTCCACGGTTGCGCGATGTGAAATGCACCTACGTTGTACCCAAATAAATACAGGTACAGTCGTACGTATGTAATCGTTAAAGCTTAAAAATTAACGACGCCTGGCGGTCGTAGAGCGCGGATTGAGACGGCGTAATCAGCGATATAATTAAAGCGATGCAGCGGCGGCGAAGTGTTTTTGAACGCTTTTAATAGGAGGAGGCGATGTCATTTGGAAAGCAAGTCTGAAATGAAGTTCTCGCTACGGTGTACTATATAAGCGGGAACAATTCCAGGCGTTAACTCCTCTTAAAACCGCGCGGAACGGTGTTAGCTTCGAATAATTCCACGGCATTAATTACTAGATTGTTCACTCGCGTAGTTAAACTTTCTCAGTTCAACGTTTCGACTCTTCCGATTCTTCTAATTCGGAGTCAATAATTTCAAAAGAAATTTCTCCTCGATTCGTTTAACTTCGTCAATCGTCTGTGGGACATTGGATCAGTTTCGGATTATAAAATTGATAGACAACAGGAGTTATTTTTTTTGTAAACACGTGTCCATAATTTATTATCAATTGTTTACTCCATACAGTGACCTGCACAAGTAATGACACGCTCACGTTGCACGCACACACACGCATACGTCCAACAAAAAAAATATATATACGGTCACATCGCGTACAGATATACGCATACAGAGAAACGCGTTCACAGATGTACATGTAAGTAGCACATATGCATATCTGTTTTGTTTTACACATATACAATAATATGTATTTTCGTCGGCATCTCCCGCGTACAATTATCAACAAGGGGGAAATTTTTCGTTATTCATTCTTTTTCAAAATATATATATATATATTTTTTTTTATTCTTCGTCGTTATTTATATAGGACAAGAACGGTGGAAACGATCATACACCATCTTGAAACTTATTACTCTCTTATTATGCGTAGTTCATTGTTTTCTGTGCGTCGTAATATAACTATTTCCTTTTCCCTCCGTTGAAGAATTAACGATACCGGTTATATTAGCTACATTGATGTGCGGCATTCGAACTTAGTAAATACTGGGAGGAAACGAGGGCGAAGTCAGGAAGTTCCGAATTTTCCGTTTCGTTACGTTTGGTTGGATAACGATAATTCAATTAACAAATATCGTTGCTCGTTCGTCCGTGCAATGAACTTTAGCGCGTGTCCGTTCTCCAATTGAAATCTACCCGAAAATGTTTCTTTCCCACCGTTTGCCGGGTAAAAGGAACGTGCACTGATCCGTATCTCGACTGACTTCGATGGCTCGCACAACCACAGCATTCATTAGATACTCCCCTAATATCTTGACTTCAGTATCACAATGATTCAACGTATTGACTATTTTACAGATAATCTTTCGGCCTGTCTGCCTTCTATATATTTTCTAAAAGTTTCGCGACACTAACCGTACGAGCTTCGAAGCTGCATACCGATTTCTATCTCTCTCCTCAACGTTGGGACGCGAAGTACTTTTGCTTCGTTCGTCCCAGGGCTGAAGTTCGGTTCAATATGCGGTATTCGTGGTCGCTACTAATTGTCGTGTCTTGCATATGTAACCACAGGTGCATGAGCTTCTGTTTCCCTTTGTCCTTTCACAATCCTCTCTCATGGACGGCGATAAAAAACGTACGCGGTTTTGTTACAGATTATTACAACATGCGAGGAACGCTAAAATCCTGAGTGTCTAAAAATCTTCGCACAATAATATGCACGAGCTTATACATAAATTCTTCTCGCTCTTATCTTCTCTCTTATCTCTCAATCGCTGCAACAAATCCTTTCGATACTAATGTATCTATCCGTTCCTCAATGCGGAAGTCTTCTAATCACGTCGCGTGCGATATGGAAAAAGTAAAAGGTATTCACGAAACGAAATAATCAAGTTCCATCGCGTTCGCTAAAAAACATTGGAGCGTCGTTCGATTAATTTTAATTGGGTTGATCGCAACATCTCTTTCGTGATACCGTAATTGGAACGTAAAAATTTTCAATCGCTCGGCTTAAATAGATGGTCCACGTTTTGTTTATGATGTTAACATCTACCGTCGAATGTACGGGGGCATTAAACGAAGCAGCGATCTGTTTCACCTTCCGAGGGAATCGTCGACCCGTGTTTGTATCCGCGTGAACAATAGATACAGCTGTACGTTGTAGAAATCAAATCGGCTACCCACACGCGCGGTCGATAGATTTCGTGGACGCATAATACAGTTAATGTACAAGTTGTGCAAATTTTATGCAGAACAACACCCGTTCACGAACATCTCACGTTGAACTCGTCGTGATAGAATCGATAACTTTGTAGCGTAGTATAAATATTTGGGCAAAATTTGTACGATCATTCGTTCGCGCAGCGCAATTTCAAACCATGGATTGAGCTTCGCCTGAATCCGAGAGAATAGATTAGCTAAAATAACGCTCTCAATTTACCGAATCTATTTATCGTCGATGAACAAAACTGCCTAATATCGTTCGTTGCGCTTTGAAGAAAAGATCATCTCTGCGATCTTCCAACGAAGAATGCTATTAAACTCGACTCTGTACAACTGGTCATAAAATACGCGTTAAGATATTTCCATTTTATTATTAAAGACTGTCGAAGTGGACTTTTAACGTGTGGCAACTACCCAGATTCCTTCGTTGGCCTTCACCGATTATAATATAGATTATTTTTATCTCAAGGCAAATATGTTTCACTGTTAGAATTAATCGGTGGCGCCGAGACGTTTGTAGTTTGTGTACACCTGATACGTACACTCACGTACGTATCATGATACATACATAATTACTGATCACTATTCAGTTTCGCACCGTTCCTACGCATAGGAGAAGCACTTTATACGTACACTAAAACATACCCTAATATGCTGATCGAATAGCTGAAATAAAGAGTTAACTTTTAACGTTCACCGTCTTCAATCATAGAAAAATTCATATCGCTTTCGTATAAAAAATATTTTTAAATAAACTTTAACTCAATTGAACAATAAAGTGCTCTTCTCTGGCCTGTTTTTTTTTTGTGCATTACAAATAACGCGCGCATTTTTCGCTAACGTATGTGCAGCGAACAATTATATGTATGTCGCAAATGCACTTTTCGAGTTGCGCGCTAATCCTTTTGAAAAGAAAGTTGAAAGCGCAAATGAATACTCACAGTTCGATAATCGTATATCGAGTTAAACAATTAAATGAGAACGTCATATTCGCGTCGTACTCTTCTCACTCTGATTATAATCTTACACAAGTTTACGTATACCGTACGTACGAGTACGTAGAAGGTATAAGACTAAGAATATCGCGTGCCACAGATTGTAACATCTGAACTCTGTATAAGCACAAAAAATAGTCTACTGGTTGATAGTTGCATCCACATATAACATTAAGTTTCGTTTGCACACGTAATTAGAGCGCATCTTATTTGTACGCCTCCTGTCACGTTTAAATACTAATTGTAAGATAGGCCGTGGCATAATCTTTCTTAACATTTATAAAAACATCTGACATAATCAAAAGTACACGCACCGCATTCGACAAAGCACATACAAATATTTCGAATCTACAGATTAATCGACGAAAACAAAGATACTGTATAATATCATGACGTTAATAAAAAGTTTTCTAAAACGCAATACACTGCACGCATTACACGGTATTAGAAATAAATTATCTAATAAACGACTGACCGACCATCACTTTCACTGGCTAAAATTAATGCGTACAATATTTCATGGAAAATTCGAACACGACCGATGTTTTACATCAGACCTCAGTATATACGAAAGCCAATAGTCTAATAGCAAAGGCAATACTGCCAAATGTGGAATACTTCATTCTTCATTCAGAATATTAATTACTCATTAGGCTCCAAATACCTAATACATACTCGTATTTACTGACGAAAGAGAAACTCGTTGTCTATTCAAAGAATTAATTTTTCTTAAATGATATTTACATTTACAAAAAAACGACTTGAATAAAAAACGCTTCGCGTGAAGATTAAGGGAAAGATAAAATGTAAAAAGAAATGTTGAACCAAAAGGCATATTTTAGTCTTGTTGTTCTTTCAAAAGACATGAAGGACTTAGGAAACAAGGGGGAAAGTCATTTGAACTGAAATAAAATAAGTAAAAATGCTTGAAGCTATTTCTTTTTACGCTATTTAAAACAGGAGTCAATTGTATAAGAAACCATTATAGTCATTTCATGACAGGATCTTATTACGTGAGGAAGTAAAAAGATTTCTATAGAATTATGCATTGTGCAATAAAAAACGCTCAATTCCATAGTGTTTCATCGATGGTAAAAAATTGATGTGTACACGCGTACTGAGACGTGGTCTCATATTATCGTGATGATGAACAGTCAATATTATCTCCGACAAATTATTTTCGATCTCCCAAGTCTTAACTGATGCTGATTTTTTAGAAAATCTAGATTTGCGTTTCGGAGATACACGTAACATCGTCATCTTTTCGTTTGCCTTATCGTTACTATTTTGTACACTTATTTTACACGAGTGGGACCGATATTCATTGTTTATTAGATAACACATAAGTGAATAAAAAAAAAGTGAAAAATTTCCAAGTTATATGTACCTAAACATACGCGATGGAGGACAAAGACCCACTTTTTTGTTGGCAGGTGCGTATCACTTTTATGACAAAAGCGACCCTTTAAAAAAGTGCGTAATGATTACGCGATCCCTAACACTCGGTCAATAAATTCTCGAGCTTTATAAAAGATTACATTTTGTTGAACGTCTTCGTTTCCTCCGATTTTTCTCCAACTCGGCTGGAGGTTGGTTTCTGATAATACGAACAACCTAGAGCAAAATTAATCGAGCCTCTTAGAAACAACCCGCATGCAACAACAACACAATCTCCTCCTGAACATTCTTTTTCTTACTAATCCCGTACCTCATGGAATGCTGCATCTACATTTAACGGCGGATCTTTGGCAGAGGTTTCAATATAAGGTATACCCAACCGATGAGCCAACTCCCTTCCCTGTTCCTCTGTGACTTTTCTCAAATGTACTAAATCAACTTTGTTGGCTACCAACAGCATGGGATATACATCTCTATCTTTTACCCTAAGTATTTGGGTATAAAAATTCATGATATTCTCATAAGATTGTTTGTCAGTCACAGAATATACTAATAAAAACCCATCACCCTTGCGCATATATTGTTCACGCATGGCACTGAATTCTTCTTGACCAGCTGTATCTAACACTGTTAGGTACAAACAAATCTTTGTACACACAAGAGTATGTTATAGAGCTAATATATAGCACCAAGCATTATACACGGTTCAAGGATAGCAGATAGCAGAAAAAAATGTAGTGAAACAAGAAAAATATTGCTAACAGTAACTCGACTTACCATCCAAGATGCACCATTGCTTGTCTACCTCTGTATGTTGAATGTAACTGTCTTCAATAGTAGGATCATAGTCAGCGACAAATAACTTCTGAAAGAACTGTATGGTGAGAGCACTCTTTCCAACTCCTCCATCTCCAACCACAACCAACTTATAGGTCATAAGGTTGTCATTATTTGGAGGTCGTGTCATTCCGCCTCTGGTTCTCCCAACACCTCCCCCGCTGCTCTGCTTTCTTCTGCCTATTCTGTCAACTCTTCTAATGTATTATTAGCAGCTCGTCTGCTCGTAAATTGTTATGTTCCTCTGGCCGAAGTGTCCTGAAAGGGTTAGCTCAAGTCAGACCGCTGGAACTGACGATACATCGGGTTTCGACTTTCCCAAAATTTTTAATGTATCAAGAATTTGTTCACGTGAAAACGCGAGAAAACTGAAAAACCTGTGCATTATTGCGATGTAACGGGTGTGTCAATTACACTTAATAGGACAAAATTAGAAGCGAAGTTCCCAATGGGCAAATCTCAGGGTTGCATTAGAACTTTGAACTCGGTAATTTAATAAATTCTCTCCACGCTATTTATTCTCGAATCCATTAAAGGACAAACGATATTCACCTTACATGATCTTCTACTCCTATTTCGCGTTCTTCCAGCTGTCAGTCTGGGCCACTGTGCGCAACATTCGTCTCTGTGTATGTAGAGAATTATATTTGTGTGAGTTTCAAACGTAAACGTAATACAGTATGCTTGTATATTTTTATGACCATGCGCGTAAACACAACTACTGTAGCCACATATCTTGCAACTTCATCATATGCATTACAGTCATGCCAATGATTATTAAGTTCGACATCATATGTAAACTAATACGAACACTAATAAAATACCAAACTGAAAATCCTTTCCGTTCGTAAACGATGAAGTCTAATGAATTCACTTGTACTCGAGATTATTATTCTTACCTATCACTGCTATCACTAACGTACGATAAACGTAAGTGGCAAGAATAATTTTGTTATATTGGCAAATATTTCTTAGTCCGTTTGTACTCTAACTTCATGCTATGCAATTTACATCGGCTCAAGCTCAAAGTGTTGGGCACTCGTGAAGACACACGTGTACTGTATAGTTCGTATATACAAACTGTATAGTTCGTAATTGTAAAAATAAAAATATATCGGTACACTCTCGTACCATATAAATTAAACATCTGTGAAAAACAACATACACATATTTTATTTTATACATGATGTGTTATATAGGATGCTAATCTTACAAGCATAATCGATTGTACATACATCGTTAGTTCAACGTTTTTGTGAACTTATTTAATTTTAGTAAGTATACAGTCTCACCACCTGTCATTCTTGAGTATTTCATCGAGTTAAAATAGTTTATGTATAATTCCTATGCTGTTTACTAGTGTCGATCATGCATTTATCAATTTTGAGGTTATATCATAACCTTGCATGTTTGTAAACAATAAGGTTTAAAGCTATTTCATCAGACAATAAAGAAATAAATAAATCGTATGTTAAATAAAATGTCAGTGTTATAAATGAGATATCACTTTTATGTTTGTAGTTACTATTTAAATCAGAAAAAGAGTCATCATGGATGCTGATTTGTATGATGAATTTGGTAATTACATTGGACCTGATTTGGCTTCTGATAGCGAAGATGAAAATGAATATGGAAATGCTGGAGATGATGGGGAAGACAGAGAACGCTCAGATGAAGATATGGAAGAAGACAAAGATGAAACAAGAGAACAATCAGAGCAAGGGAATTCTATGGCTGTTGTATTGCACGAAGATAAAAGATATTATCCAAGTGCTTTAGAAGTTTATGGGCCAGAGGTGATTTGATTATTGTAGCTATCTTAATTGTACAATTCAATTATAACAGTTATTTAATTGCAATGAATTATAGGTAGAAACACTGGTTCAAGAAGAAGATGCTCAACCCTTAGATAAACCATTGATAGCACCAACAAGGAAACCAAAATTTCAAATAAAACAGCAACAACTCCCAGAAACAACGTACAACATAGAATTCTTGGCAGACATGATGGACGCTCCCCATCTGATACGCAATGTTGTACTACTTGGACATCTGCATCATGGCAAAACTACGTTGGTCGACTGCCTAGTAAGGCAGACTCATCCTTATTTACACAGTGTAACAGATGAAAAACCTTTAAGGTATATTACCTATCCATACAACATGAACAGTTCTGAAGTGGGAATTTCTATAATTTACTTAAAGCAAAATTGATTTGTGTTTCCAGATATACAGATACGTTATTCACTGAGCAACAGCGAGGAGTATCGACAAAGGCAACGCCGGTGACTTTGTTACTGCAAGATGTAAAGTCGAAATCTTATCTGTTAAACATATTCGATACTCCCGGGCATGTGAACTTTTCTGACGAAGCTACAGCGGCGATACGTTTATCCGATGGAGCAATATTGATCGTTGATGCCGCCGAAGGCGTCATGTTAAACACCGAACGATTACTGAAGCACGCGCTCCAAGAGAAACTCGCGTTAACAGTTTGTATAAATAAGATAGACCGACTGATCCTAGAACTGAAGTTACCACCCCTAGACGCGTATTATAAATTGAGGCACATCATCGAAGAAATCAACGGATTGATAGCCTTATATTCAGACTCCGAGAATCCGTGTTTCGTGTCGCCCGCAATCGGAAACGTATGTTTCGCCAGTTCCGAGTACAATGTTTGCTTCACTCTGAAATCCTTCGCGGCGCTCTATGCCAAGACTCACCCTGGTCTTAATTCTAACGAATTTGCGAAACGATTATGGGGTGACATATATTTCAATTCGAAAACGCGGAAATTTACTAAAAAGCCGCCGCACAATACGGCGCAGCGTAGCTTCATCGAATTTATTCTTGAACCGTTGTATAAAATATTCGCGCAAGTTGTTGGTGACGTCGATACGACTTTACCCGATGGTTAGTAATCAATTATATATCCGGTCGATAGGTCTTTACTGTGGCGTAACATTTAAACTTGCTTCCACAGTGCTCGATGAATTAGGCATAAGATTAACGTCGGAGGAAATGAAAATGAACATCAGACCTCTATTGAGATTAGTGTGCACCCGATTCTTGGGAGATATGTGCGGATTAGTCGATATGTGCGTAGCTCATGTGCCCAGTCCACAGGCCCACGCACCGGTTAAAGTCCAACATGTGTACACTGGCCCAATGGACTCGCCCCTCGCACAAGACATGATCAATTGCGAACCTGATGTTAGTATTCGTCAAATATTATTCGTATCACGCATTCGGGGACAAACTCTAACGGGGAACAATTATTTACAGGGGAGATTAATGATACACAGCACAAAAATGTATCCTACCGAAGACTGTACTCTGTTCGTGGTCCTTGGTAGGGTAATGTCCGGCACTCTCGAGGCGGGACAACGCGTTCGCGTGTTAGGTGAAGCGTACTCGCGTACAGACGAAGAAGATTCTCGCGTGTTGACCGTGGGAAGGCTGTGGATAAGCGAAGCACGCTACTCAATCGAACTGAACAGAGTTCCCGCGGGCAATTGGGTACTAATCGAGGGCATAGACAGGCCAATCGTAAAGACGAGCACGATCACTGACCTAAATAACTCGGATGACTTGCATATCTTCCGACCTCTCAAGTTTAACACACAGAGCGTGATCAAAATTGCGGTCGAGCCGGTGAACCCATCAGAATTGCCGAAAATGTTGGACGGTTTGAGGAAAGTCAACAAAAGTTATCCTCTATTGGGCACCAGAGTCGAGGAAAGTGGCGAACACGTTGTGTTGGGTACCGGCGAACTGTATCTAGATTGCGCGATGCACGACCTGCGTCGCATGTATTCAGAAATTGACATAAAAGTCGCGGACCCTGTCGTTGCTTTCGCCGAGACGGTGGTAGAAACGAGTTCTCTCAAGTGTTTCGCCGAGACGCCGAACAAACGGAACAAGTTGACGATGATTGCCGAGCCGCTTGAAAGAGGCCTCGCGGAGGACATCGAGGCGGAACACGTAAAAATCACGTGGAACAAGTAAGTACGAAAAGGTCGATGCCTCGCATCGTTACATGCAACGTGACACGAATACCCTTACAGGAAACGATTAGGCGAATTCTTTCAAACGAAGTACGATTGGGATTTGCTGGCAGCGCGAAGCATATGGGCTTTCGGTCCAGACGCTACGGGTCCTAATATTTTAGTCGACGACACTTTACCCTCGGAGGTAGATAAAACGTTACTGAACAGTGCCCGCGACGCGATTATTCAAGGTTTCCAGTGGGGAACCCGAGAAGGACCTCTTTGCGAGGAACCCATACGAAACGTGAAGTTCAAAATTCTAGATGCCGTGATTGCACAAGAGCCCCTTCATCGAGGAGGTATAATAACGTCCATTTATTTCTCTTTATAAATAAAACTCAATTCCTTTTACGTTCTCATAGGTGGACAAATAATTCCGACCGCCAGAAGGGTAGCCTACTCTGCGTTTCTTATGGCAACGCCCAGGTTAATGGAACCTTACTTGTTTGTCGAAGTCCAAGCGCCTGCGGACTGTGTTTCGGCTGTCTATACCGTGTTGGCTAAAAGGAGAGGTCACGTGACCCAAGACGCGCCCGTTCCCGGAAGTCCCTTATACACTATCAAGGCGTTCATTCCGGCGATCGATAGCTTCGGGTTCGAGACTGACTTGCGGACCCACACACAAGGACAGGCGTTCTGTTTGTCGGTGTTCCACCACTGGCAAATCGTGCCTGGCGATCCACTGGACAAGAGCATCACGATTAGACCGCTCGAGCCACAACCAGCCACGCATTTAGCCAGAGAATTTATGTTGAAAACGAGAAGGCGAAAGGGCCTCTCGGAAGACGTTTCTATCAACAAATTCTTCGATGATCCCATGTTACTTGAATTGGCGAGACAAGACGTCCTACTGAATTATCCATTGTAATGTAGCATTATAGTGATTTCTCTTGTAATTCTAATATTAAGATTTATAAATAAACAATTGACTTTGTATAGAAATCTTGTTCGTTTCCAATTTTATTAACCGAACTTCCTGCTTCCCATCTATTAAATTTATTAAATCTAAGGTTTGAATTAACTATTATTTATGCAATTTCTAGATTATGATAGATTAGAATTACGTGTAAGATTCCAGATAAAACGTTCGTTCTCTTTTATTTATGTTTGAGTACTTTCCGTCTTCGACCTAAGGTTTAAGTGTCTTAAGAAATGTTTCCAAATAAAGGCAAGGTCTTACGTTATAAATAAAAGTTTCACCAACGAATGTGGAACATGTTACGACAGACCGCGTTCGAAAGTGGATCGCGACATATGGACGAGAACATCGCGTTCACGTTGTTATATCCGAAGTAAAATCGCAGATGACTGAATAATTCAATGATTCGTGAAAAAGTAACAAGTATTCAGACGACAAGTACAGCTCCTTATTATTTCATGCAACATCCGTTTAGGGAATGAAGGAAACGATTGAATTTATGTTCAAAAATCAATAACGCTTTCGTGCTCCGTCGTTGCCAGCGAAACGGTCAAGCATACCTTTGATAACATTCGATAAAATAGTTCGATGCTGTCTAAACGAATCGGGGATCACGAAGAACGAATGTTACAATGAAATAAACGATGTATAATAAAAAGACACGAATGGCAGTTTTATGTCGGAGATTCGAGACGGGACGACGCGACGGTAGAAAGACGGGCAGCGCGCGCAGTTGATAGGCGGGCCCGCAACTGCGCACATTCGAAAGGGTGGTCGAAGTAGTCGGAGCCTGTCGCCATTTTCCTGTTTCTGACTCTGCCCATTCGACCGCCCATGAACGTCGATCGACCAAGAGACTCGTGCTCTCTCGATGGACGGCAAAACCAGGTTCCCCTGACAACTGTCTCTTTTCAAGGCGATGTCGCTATGAAACGAACCAACAGCGTTGTCGCCGATCGATCAGTCGACTTCTCATATTTCTCTCTCGCACTCTCTTCCGTTCGTTCCCACCGAATGGCACACACGCGTAATCGCGCTTCCTTGCGGCTTCATCTTTGCGCTAAACTCGGCCGCAATACTGTTCGCTGTTTAGTAAATACAAAATGTTTAGGACATCTCAGTTGGATTCACTAGAACGATAAAACACGTATAACAAGTTCTACTCCTAATTCTCCTAATTCTAGTAGTGCTTAAACTTACGAAGCGATAATCTAGCACTTGGCGCTATTTTATTCTGCATCCTACACACAGAAATTCACTTAAATACTTACTTTCAGAAAACGTCGATAGCCTAATCGCCTGTTAGATATCGTAGCTACTTGTCTGGAGATTCTGGGGTAAACCTCGTGTTGTTCTTCAGAGTCCTCTCACCAGAAGAATTCGTTTCCTCCCCCACTCCGTGGCCGGACTCTCAGAATATTTTTATTATAATGCAATTTGTTAAACGGCACCATGACTTCGAACACTGGCCGCGACACGTATCCCTCCAATGTGCAACAAAGTATCGCTCGAGCTCGCCAGAACTCTTGCAGTTCCGGCAATCGTCGGCTACAGATATCTCTACTTACCATGTATCCGTCCTTTGACAGACACAATGGCCGGTATTCAGAGTCGTGACTTATATTTAAGATCGTCTTAAGCATTTGCTATCCCTATCTATCCCATATTTTCAGTTCCTGTCTTCTACAGGAAACAGCGACTTAAGCAAATTCCTAAAGCGATCTTAAATATAAGTAACGACTTTGAATAACGGCCAATGTTTTAAATATCGACGATTCTTAAAAACTAGGCCGCACATTCTTTACGTGTTGACCTCGATACGTGCAATCATCCTTAAAAAGGATTTGCCGCTAGGACGCCGATGAAATTGAAACTTCGTTCTACGCTTCAGTGGATTAAGACGCAGCTCGTATTTAAATAGAAATTCGTGGCGAGAGAGCGATCGTCAACTGCAGACTCGTCGGCGGCAAAAGAACGGTGAAACGTACGAAAAATGCGTGGTGCGGCTAATCAGGATTAACCGGTTACCAGTCCTATAAATAGCGTGACAAACTGAATTTACAATAGCGAGTGATGTACTGGCGGGAGATACCGTTGCGTAGATATTTCTTGAATGCAGTAAGTATACTGATTCTCGCGACGCGTTATCGGCACGCGCCGCTGCATTTGTATACATGACTGTCGCCGTAACTAGAATATACATGACGCTTACTTATTAAGCCACGGCCGGCTTATTTCTTTCGCACGCACACGAATACTTGCGAAACTGTTACTAAAAACTCTCAAAGCATTGTGGATCGAACTCGTTTAATAAGCAGCTTCGTGGTCGGTGCCCCCATTTACTGGCACGCAGTGACCACCTTTATGCCCTCCGATATTCATGCACGCGCGTGTATACATTTTTGTTATACAAGTCATCACACAACTACTCGAGAGGCGTTTTTTTTATCGCCGGTACATTACAACCGTATTTTATCTCTGTACAAGCTACATCTCATAATCAGACCGGTGCGGAAAGAGACTGCACAGTCAATCGCCGTTGCAGTATCAGTCCAACGAGTTTCTTGCATAGATTAGCCCGTAAGTACCGAGCGCTGCGTTTCTTCTCAAAAGCGCATTCATTCCAAGAATTCCAGCAATCCACTTGAACAATTTCTTTATGCTTCAGAGCAGTTGAAGAAAAGATCCCTTTTCGAAAGGGATTATACCAGAGCGAACAAAGTAGAAACGAAGCAGCCGACGCAAACTGATCTACGGGTAGCCAGTGGCGATGATCGATCGAACCGTTTCGCTTCTTGACGACGACGCAGGTATGAGTGCTCGTGAATCGTTCATCGATCTTCGCTGGGTTCGATCGTTGGAACGCTGGATCGACGATCGAAGGGTACGAAAAGTGAGAGAGCGTAGAAAGGGCATGATCGGAGGGAGAGCGACGCAGGGAAAGGAAATCGCGGAAAAGGACGAGGTCCGGAAAGGAAACGAGTTGGTTCGTCGACGCTCGCCGACGCTCGGCGTCGCTCGTGCGACTCCGTCACAGCGAGGCGGGGTTTAGGCGGGGTCGATACGAGCGGAACCCGTGCCTTACCATCGTTTCCGTGCAGCGTCGTTCTAATCGCACCGTATCGAAAAGTGGCAACGGCTACTGCCGCAGTTCGGCGCCACCGTTGCACACATTTGCTCTCTCTCGGTGGCCTCCATCGCCGCCGCCGCCGCCGCCGGATCCCTGATATCATCGTGCATCGTCGCACTCATTCGAGAGTCGGCCGAATGCACCGAATCGAGTCGTGGCCAGAGAGAGCGGTTACGTTAAATACGTCGAGTCGCGAGTCGCGAGCCGAGGCCCCGTGAGTTCTCGCTCGGAGGCGGGGGCGACGCGCGGAGGGGAACCAGAGGTCCAGGGAGAGGGACAAGGAAAAGCCTAGGCGTGGGGGAGTCGAGGTCAGAGGAGGATAGAGCAACCACAAGCGAGAGCGCGCGCGCGCGGACCTGTCGACCCACCGGTCGATCGACAACCACGTCGTCGACGGGCGCCAACCTCGACGACGATCAGGAAGAACGTGACTAGTAACAAGGATAGTAACACACGAACCTTGACTACGTTCTGCTCTCGATCGGAGCAAGAGGGGCAAAGTGACGTATCGGAGGATCGCGGGACTGATTGTGCGAGAAAGAAGAAGGTGATAAAGGAGGAATGGAAATGAAGAGATAAGCGGAGGATCTCAACGGAAAGAATAGAGGAAGAGTGAGGAAAGGTGGAAGGAAGGAAGGAAGGAAGGAAGGAAACAAACAGGGAAGAAGGGAAGGGGAAGGAGAAACAGAGAATCGGGTCGAAATCGTCGGGCATGTGCGCCGCGACGTACTCGCAGGCGGTAGGGACGTGATGATACGTAGCTCGCGGCGTGCGAGTTATCAGGATTGCTCGCGGTCACGGGTTCGTGACGGCCGTAGTGAGGAGTGCGACGGCGTGAGCGACGACAACGAGCGCGCTATCGCGAGAGAGAACCTCGGGGCGCCGCACGCCGACGGACGGAGCGGCGGCGTTGCCACCTCTCTTCGCCCGCTGCACCGCGAGCGAGAACCGATACGGCAACCAAGAACACCGTCGTTGCCACGTCCGCTGGTACGTTCCGCTGCCAGCCGGGACGGCAGCTCGCTGCTGCCCACGGCGACCATCTCTCTCGGTTAGCTGGTAAGCACCTACACGTAAGCCTCTATAGCCGCCCTGAAACGTGTGGTAGTCGCGTGAATCGACCGACGGGCTCGTACGTACGCTCGGTGTGCATTCGCGATCCTCCGACGAAGATAGGAGCGCTGCCTCGCCGCGATGCCCGATGCTACCCGCGAGATCCTGTTGCCTGGAATAGCTACCGTCCTCTCGGACCAGTACGTCGACGTTCGGAACAAAAACGCTCGAACCATCGATGTTACCGTGGCAACGCTCCTATCGACGACGGCTACCCTCGCGGATCTCGATTCCCGTTCTCTCCTCTGTACATTTTTTATCATTCCGTACTCTTCTTGCCGCTTCGCGATCGAATCCGTTTCTTCCGCTGGCGTATTTTTCGCGGCCTCGCGCAACAGACGTGACCGGCATCGCGAGCGCGGGTCGTTCGTCCGATAAAAAATTTCGATCCCGACTCACTCGAGAAACGCGAACGAACCCGAGAAACCGCGACCTACTCGGTGAACGAATTCGGTCCTCCACGGACTTGGCGCCAGACCTTTCTCAAGTTCGAACACGAAGGCCCTTCTACTCGTTCTTTCTCTTTTCCTCTCCGATTCACCGTCTCTCCCCTTTCGTACAGTTCTTCATTACTTCTGCCATTTCTGGTAGACCCCACCTTATTCCTCTCTCTCTCTCTCTCTCTCCCTCTGTCTATCTGTCTCCTTCTCTGTCTCGTTTATCTCCCGTGCTACCGACCTTGGTGGATCATTCACAGACCGAAATTGCTTGGACGCGTGTAGCCGACTATTGCTGTACGACGACGCAGGTGGTCGGGCCTTTCCTCGATTTCGTTAGCCATGCGCAGTGACACTTGGCCTCCGTGTTATTATCGCGCGGGAGATCTGTTCACGCGAGCTCTAAAAACCTAGTTTTTCCTACACCGACGTGTTCGCGTGACTGACTAGTTTCACTGTCAAGTACCTTTCACGCGATCCTCTCGTCGTTTGTCGCGCAAATTCAAGATTCCAACAAAAACCGTACGTCGCGATTGTCACTGGATTTCGTTCATCGCCTCGATAACGACCGATCCGAAGGTTCGCAGAAAACCTGCTACGTTCGCCGCACTTGCGACCACTTAACGACAGCTCGCGAAGAACCGCTCCGCTATTAGAACGAGCGTACGTTTCTGAGTATATTTCGTATCGCACGAGAGGAGATTCGTTCGCGCGCGATACGCGTGCTAAATGTCTACCTTTTCCTTCGACGCGCTCAACGCTCCCTCGGTTAGAAAATGTTATCGCATTTTGGTCGCGTCGCGAAGAGCAAGGGAAGAGAAACCATCCCCTTTAAGAGATAGACCTTAAAGTCAGAACCGTAACTCGTTTCTCTCCCCCCATCGGATTTCACGAGATATTTCATTATTCTAAATATATCGACTGCGCGTACGAATCACCGCTTCGAACGCGGTGTCTATCCTAACGCGATTACCACCCACGTGTGTTTCCTCCCTGCGAGATGGTACGCGCGCTGTGGGAAAACTACCTGCATTTGCCGGAATCCTCCGGCCATTGCTAGAAACCGCATCGATGTCGCGACGTAGATATCAGTGCGTGCGTTATGCGATTTAATTTTAGATAAGACAGAGACCGCGATGCGACGCGTTCCCTGCCCTGTGCAATGAATCGCGACGATCCATGCATGTATACATACATATTTCATGCATGACATACATGTATTTAAAGCGACATCGATTTCAACCAGCGCACGACGCACGGAATGAGTTTCGTAATTAATTGAGAAAAAAAACGTCGTCCGTCAATGTTTACTCGCGCGGAATTAACAATCGGATGGCACAGCTGTTTCAGAACCGAGTAGCGACATGGAGGCGACGGAGAGGGAGAAGCCGTTGGTTAAAGACTTGAACGAACATATCGTGTGTCCTCTCTGCAGAGGCTACCTGATAGACGCAACGACGCTAGTGGAATGCCTCCATTCTTGTTAGTATTTACTTGAATTTTCTTTGACTAATCGAAATTCTAGCCGCGCGATCGATCGGAAGATGGCATCTTCCAAGATATTAACTTTTGCATGTCATCGGGTTTATTATCATTCATTAGCAATGGAAAAATGTGCGAGCTTATCGAAGTTGTTGATGCCGCTCGGCTACGATGGAGCAAGCGCAGTGCCGTACATTGAACGGACATATCTGCTTAGATGCCTCGCGCTCGTAAAATAGTTCGTCTGCCCCTTTGGCAGGGTAGCTAAATTCGAGGAGGGTGACTAACTGCTCCGCTCTTCGTTCCGCGCGCAACTAATATCCTCTTGGATTAGCAAGATCTCGAAAGCCCTGAGAAAGCGCTTAAACGTCGGTTCAGACACTTTACGAATGATACGCTTTTGATAAAAAATATTTAGCACTTATATTATCAGACAGACGTTGGACATAATTGCGGGAATCGCTTAAAAATCGTTCGTCCACTACTAACAAGATTCGATGTGAAATTTTATATTGTACGTTCAGTCACGTTCCTACTTGAGTCGCGTATCGTTCTAGTCAAAACATTCTTTGAGAGAATGTCGGATGAAATTTGTCTGAATTGAAACGCGACGCGTATAAACGTCTATGTTTAATAACAATACTTATAATATTTTCCTGAACTGAATCGTTGAAGTTCTATGAACCGTAAGATCCACGCCAAGAGTTCAAGAAATGTCATAAGAAGTTTTATTCAATATTTGTAGCAATCATGACATTTACAGAGAATTGTTGCATTTATATTTTTTCATAAATTAAATTAAAAT